GTACTAAACATTATACGCCTGTAATTTCTTCTAATTCATACATAATCGCAAATCTCTATGTATTACCAATCTTTCTGTTAGTACTAAACATTATACGCCTGTAATTTCTTCTAATTCATACATCGCAAATCTCTATGTATTACTAATCTTTCTGTTAGTACTAAACATTATACGCCTGTAATTTCTTCTAATTCATACATAATCGCAAATCTCTATGTATTACTAATCTTTCTGTTAGTACTAAACATTATACGTTTGTAATTTCTTCTAATTCATAAATAATCGCAAATCTCTATGTATTACCAAATTTTCTGTTAGTACTAAACATTATACGCCTGTAATTTTTTCTAATTCATACATAATCGCAAATCTCTATGTATTACCAAATTTTCTGTTAGTACTAAACATTATACGCCTGTAATTTCTTCTAATTCATACATAATCGCAAATCTCTATGTATTACCAATCTTTCTGTTAGTACTAAACATTATACGCCTGTAATTTCTTCTAATTTATACATCGCAAATCTCTATGTATTACTAATCTTTCTGTTAGTACTAAACATTATACGCCTGTAATTTCTTCTAATTCATAAATAATCGCAAATCTCTATGTATTACCAAATTTTCTGTTAGAACTAAATTTATACGCCTGTAATTTCTTCTAATTCATACATAATCGCAAATCTCTATGTATTACCAATCTTTCTGTTAGTACTAAACATTATACGCCTGTAATTTCTTCTAATTCATACATAATCGCAAATCTCTATGTATTACCAAATTTTCTGTTAGTACTAATCATTATAAGCCTTTAATTTACCAATTTACCGATTTATTTTTCTTCTAATTTTTCTAGATTAGAAGTTTTTTTTATAGTTTAAGAAATTTCTGTTAGTACTAAGCATTATAAGCCATTATCCGATTTATTTTTCTTCTAATCTATATATAATAATAAATGTTTAGTATTGCTAAATGTCTATTAGTTTTAAAATAAATTTTTAAAAAATAGAAAATCATTCATTTTATTCGCATAACACACAAAATAGCAACAAAAATGACAAAAATAAAAATATCATAAAAAATTTTATGAAAAAAAAGAAAAACACGTGTCTCATAACAATATTTAAAAAATATATAATTTAATTTTTTAAATGAGAATTAAAAGAAAAATTTTAAAAATAATAATAATAACGCGCGGCACAAAAACAACAAAAAAATAACGGAACAAAAATTCGTATTTATTTTTAGAGAAAACGAGCAGTTCCAAACACCAATTAAAAATTAAAATCTAAATAAAAAATATCCCTTAAACTTAATAGTTTTGGTAGTCCACGATCAGGGCTGATTCTAAAGCCCTCGATAAGCGCTATCTTTTACCCAAATAGATGAATAAAGTATGATCACTAGGGCGTGTCAAAACATGCAAATGCATATTTTGCATGCGGATATGCCATGAGCTGAAACGCTCAAAAATGGTGTTTTTACGTCTGTACGAACATTAGGGACCGGGTTCCTATAGCATATTTTTGCATATTTCGGTACTTTCGTGCATATTTGCATATTGATGCATATTTTGGGAAATTTTGCATATTTTTACCTAAATTTGTACATATTTTGGCATTTTTTGAGAAATTTGTAGTTTAAAAATTATTTTTTAGCATAATATAAAATTTTTTCAAAAATTTTTTAAAGAAATTTTTTGGAAAAATTTTTTCAAAAAATATTTCTGGAAAATTTATTTCAAAAATTTTTTTTCATAAATTTAAAGTCCGTAAAATGTTTTAGAAGTGCTCTAAATTGCTATTTTAAAGACTAAATCATCATTTTTACTTAAAATGTTAATTTTTGAAGCACATTTTTACTGTTTTTTGCTGCATATCTCGTGCATAAAAATGTCATATTTAGGCCTTTTTCGGTGCATATATATGCGCATATTTTGGGATTTTCCGTGCATATTTTGACACGCCCTAATGATCACCCACGAAAAAGTTACAAGTCAATAATAGTGCAAAACAACGATTTCTTGCACTTTTGACTTGTAACTTTTTCGTGGGTGCTCATACTTAATTCATCTATTTGGGTCCACGACCAGGGCGCTTATCGAGGGCTTTTGAATGATATGAGATTCATTTGGATTGGACTAAGCATAAAAAAGTTATAGCCGATCAAATTTAGTAAAAAGGAAAATGGTGGGAGATTAACAAAAAGTACCGTAGTTTTCGAATATTTAACGCTCGTTAAATTGAGGTTATCTTGTATAGGGTCTATTTTATAGTGAGGGTATGACTGCAAACGGTCTTGAAAAAGTAAACGAATTTTATTTAGATTTTAAAAACTTTCAAATTTTCGAAAATTTTCTGAAAGAATATTTTAAAAAAAAATTTTCAGCAGAAAGGCTCAGATATAAAAATTAAATATAGCACAAATTTAGATAATTGAAGAAAAAATAAACATCCCTAATAAACTCTCAATAAAAATACGTTCAACCCAAAAAAAACACAAAATAGAGAAAAATGATGAGTGAAGGAAGGAAAAAACACTACAAAAAATGGAAAACATGAAGATAAAAATTTTGGTTTGAGAGGAAAAATTCCAAAAAAAATTTTTTTGAATAAAATGAAACTTGCTATAAAATATAAAAAATATTTGATAAGTAGAAAAAATCACAAACAGAAAAAAATTTTTTAAAAAAAACCGAAAAATTTTGGCTGTATTTATTAGTAGAGATCGGTATTTTCAAAAATCCTGGATTCCGGATTTAGGTTAGTAACCTGGACAGAATTCTTGATCTGAATCCAAGAAAAATCCAGACTGGGTCCAGATCAAGACCGATCTCTAGTTATTAGTCGCCGAAACGGGTCAAACAATATGGATTCGTCTCGACGAACTGAGTCGAAAGTATCACTTGAAGAAATGCCTTTAGACCGAGATATACGTAGGTCCCCCTAAACTGAAAAACTATAGGGGGGATCGGTGAGCTGAGTTAAATGACACAAAAATCAGTTTGGGCTATATGTACTAAGTACGTTGGACCCGGGACCTAGATTCGAAATATAAACCAATCGATTCCTCTCGCAGAGCTGAGAGCAAAGTTACCGTCTAGCCAACTCCGATAGGCTAATTTGGTGAGCTTACTCCCCCAGAACTGAGCTTACTCCCCCTATATATTTTAGGTTTTGAGGACCTATATCTCGGTCTACAGGCAATTCGGCACCTAGATAGTGGTACCATTCGACTAGGCTCGTCAAGTCGACTGACATATCGTTAACCCGTTACTGTGCCGACTAAACTATATGCAAGATTTTGCTTAAGAAAGATTTTAGATGAAGGAAAAATAAAAATATAATAAAATTAGCAGCAAAATTAGATGAAAGATGATGATCTAAAGTTCAATAATAATTAAAATAATTTAGGATTATTAAAAAGATAAACACAAAAAAACTCAAATAGACACCAACTGCTCGTTTATCACACGTTTAAATGATTGAAAATCAGAAATTAAAAATAAGACTAAAAATTCTCACCAGAATTTTATGAAAAAATCAGAATTCAAATCAGAATTAATTTTTAGAAATCAGAATTTAAATCAGAATTAATTTTTAAAAAATCAGAATTTAAATCAGAATTAATTTTTAAAAATCAGAATTTAAATCAGAATTAATTTTTAAAAATCAGAATTTTGACCAGAATCAATTTTTAAAAATACAATTTTGACCAGAATTAATTTTAAAAAATCAGAATTTAAATCAAAATTAATTTTTAAAAATCAGAATTTTGACCAGAATTAGATTTTAAAAATCAGAATTTAAATCAGAATTAATTTTTAAAAATCAGAACTTAAATCATAATTAATTTTTAAAAATCAGAATTTTGACCAGAATTAATTTTTAAAAATCAGAATTTTGACCAGAATTAATTTTTAAAAATCAGAATTTAAATCAGAATTAATTTTTAAAAATCAGAAAATTTTGGTGAGAAAATTTACATCAATCCCATAAATACCCTAAGAGGCAGCAATTTATAAAATTAAAAAAAAACTGACAAAATAAAACAAAACTCGCATCCAAAAAATTTTTTTCTCAAAAAAATTAGAAAAATCGAGTGTCAAAAAATTAGGTAATTAAAATAAAATAGATTGATTGATATCTCTCTCTCACTGGACATATACTCAAAAAATACAAATTCGCTCTCAAACATTACCAAAAATATAGCAAACACACTCAGCGATTTTTAAAAAAATTGTTGAATTTAAAAGTCAAACAAAAAGTTTTGAGCCCTTGTAATTTAAAAATAAAAATTTCCTCCGAAAAAATAATATTTGTCAGTAAAAAAAAATTTTGAATTTTTTTTTAATTTAGGGAGAATTTTTGGATAATTTCTAACTGAAAAAAAATTTGTTTTGAAAAATTTTAGGAATTTTTACAAAAACTGAAATAAGAAATTCCAGAAAATAGGAGGCCTAAATTTTAATTTCCGTAAAAATATTAAAAATAAAAAAATCCGAAAAATTGGAATGACTAAAAATTGTCCAAAAATTTTTTAAAAAAATTTAAAAATAAAAAAAATTAAATTAAATATTTATCAAAAAAAGGCTCAAAACTTTTTTCAAAATTATTTTTTCATTCATATCAACCTAAATATAATACTTTTTATTGGAATGAAAACCCTTCATCCGGTACGTTCTGTTGTGTCGATTGGAAAAGAAATTGGGCTTGTTGCTGTTGTGCAGCATCTCCCATTCCTGCGGTACCTGCCGCAACACCTAAAAAATTTTTTAAATATTTTTAAATTAAAAAAAATTTTTTAAAGATTTATAGGCAACTAGGATGTATCGAGAGTCGTTAACAAGGAAAAAAATTTTAGCTTGTGGGCTTTCAGGAATTCTCAGAATTTTTTTGGGAAGTATAGTCCCAATTGAAATCCAACCCCAGGATATGATCCTGAACGTAAAGTCATTTCAAAGTGTTAAAACAAATGTTTCAGGCCTAATTTAAATAAAAAGCATCATACGACCAAAAATTATATTCAGAAGACAAAGAGAAAAATTGCATGCCAAATTCGATTGCTCACTCCCCCAATTTTCTCTCGATGCTAGGATTCTTCGGTTCAGTTTCGGATTTCTAAAGATTTTCCAAGAACTGTTAACCCTACTTCATGTCATTTTTGGTCGCAAAACGCAAAGAAATTTGTTCATAAACACATGACACCAGACAACGTCAAAATTTCTCTCTCATAGAAAACCCTTACACATTTTAAACAAAAAGAAAATTTAAAAAACCTGCTGCAGCCTGAACCAATTCATCCTCTTCTTCAGACGAAAAGAAATTGTCAATAATTTCATAAGCCATTTTATAGATTTCTTCGCTTTCATGGTTCTGAAGATGTTCAATTTTGTCAAGACCTTTAAATTTCAAAAATTTTTGTACAAAAAACTTTTTCAAAAAAAACCTCCACATTCTTCAATTTTCTGGCAAACTTCATCAGTTTGGGCGCATGACTTTTTCAAAATGTTATTTAACCCATCCAAAACTACTTGAACAATTTGTGGGTCACGCACGCCGAGAAGGTTGCAAAATGGTACAATTACCCCATTCTCTACCTAAAATAAAAATGTTGAATATTTTTTGCTAAATTGGATGTCCTCAGAGAGCTAAAAGTCAAAAACTGAGAAAACGTAAATTTAACAGTTGAGAAAGAATGTTTGCTGACCACGGCTCTTCATGTTATCGACAAATGATAAAAAGGGATGAAAAAGATGGGTCGATTTTAGAAACGAGTTTTAAACTTCTGCTTAGGATAAAGTGTCGTATAAAAGAAAAGACCGAGTTTTGAGTAATCATGTTACTGGTTAACCAGATTCTTTACAACAATCTATCATATTTTTAAAATTAAATATAAACCATATAGTGCACATGCTCCGCTCGTCCACTAATTGTCACGTTAGAAACAGCCCAAGCAGCTTCCTTTAAAAAATAAAATTATTAAAGAAAAAGGTGATAAAAATATGAATTCTATGGTATAATTTGGAGTGTGGGCTCCGTAGAATTTCAAAAATCAATGTGTTTATGACCTTACATAATTTATCAAACCTTTTGCGTTTGGAAATCTCCTTTATCCAAAAGATGAATGATCATCGGTATAAGACCAGCATCAATTACAGCTTGAACTTGACTCTCATTGCCAGCGGTTATGTTGGAAAGGAACCAAACAGCCTCCTTAAATTAAAATTTTTTTCAAATTTTTTCAGATTAAAATTGGACCCCGACCAGACAAAATCGAAAAGTTCAGAGTCAGGGTTTGCCTGGGTTGTGAATGTCAAGATCCAACCCTACTTGAAATTCTCCAAAAAAACCTTATTGATCTTATCCTTTGTATGAGAAAGAAGTGGCTGCATTAATTGGAGAGCACCACAATCAAGTACAAGCTGAGTTTGCTCATCTGTTCCGGTCACAATATTTCCAACAGCCCTTAAAATTAAAAAAAAAATAAGGGCAAAAAATTAAAACAATAGAAAACCTAAGAGCAGCCGTTTGAACCTTAACTTCTGGAGTAGCCAATAAAGGAACCAGAAATTGAACAACCTAAAAAATATAAAGAGAAAATTAAAGAAGCTATTGGGAGGACATAAAAAACAAAACAATCTTTGTTTTGACTAGTGTCATGACTCGGAGAGCGCCATAATGCCGGAAAGCCGAACTACAGAAAGCCGCCGAAATGTCAAAGTGTGAAAATGGCCCTCGAGTCACGGGACCAAGTCTTGACCAAGAATCTTACAATTAGTCTTGAAAATCTGTGATCTCGGACACTTTACTACGGTTAATGTCACTAATATGGTCGAAAAAAATTTTTCAAAGCTCAGAAAAGTATCCGGTAAATAACGCCATAGCAAAAAATTAATCTTACCCCAGAATCAATAACAAGTTGTATTTGATCATTCCCTCCATCCGTCAAATAAGAGAGCGCCCAAACAGTGTCAACAAGAATAGACGTATCTTGATGATGGATCAACATGGCGAGTGCAGGCAATAACATTTGAACAATTTGACGATTAGGTGGAGGATCCTTACTACGGCAAAGATTAACCATAACCTTTAGAAAATGATTAAAATGTGCGAATTTAGGGAAGCATTTGAGTTTTTAGGAGCAAATGGCTGTTTTAAGTATTTGGAAGCAAATAACCCCGTAACCGAAACATTGATCAGCAAGTCATTCTTTAGAAAACTAATGCCCGCAAATGTAGAAAATATATAATTACGTAATCTGCAGTTGTGGACAGACTTGGTGGGAAGTCCAAGGGAAAAAATTGAAAAAGGGAGGTAACAAAAAGGGAGATATCAAAATACCGAATTCACCAACCATAGAAAATTGTTTAGAGTCCTAATAACCGTAAACGATGATTCCTTTTAAGAGGAAGGTCCACAATGACAACCGACCTTCTTACCATCAAAGACCTTCCTCCCTTCCTTATACACAAAAATTTTTTTCAAAGAACAAAAAAAATACCCAAGTAACGTTACGCAAAAAGTTAAGCGGAATCTCTGGAGCAACAAATTTCAACAAAGGCTGAACAATTCCCAATTCAATGCAATAGTCTCTAAAATGCGGTCCATCACCTTTAAAATTTTTAATTAAAAAACATATCCTTCCCCCAAAAAATAAACCAATAATATTTCCAAGTGCCCAAACAGCTTGTTCACAAACATTCATATTTTGAGAATCCAACAATTTCAAAAAATGAGGAACAGCTCCAGCCTGAACAACAGCTCTAGTTTGTTCTGAAGTACCACTAGCAATGTTAGTTAATGCCCAAGCAGCCTCAAATTGAAGTGTCGAACTTTAAGTGAGATTTAGAGTTTTAGATTTCTAAGGTTAAATGAAAATTAAAGATATGTAACAGGTAAGAGCAGGTGGGAAACTCAAAAAGTTCATTTAGTAAAATAGAGAAGGGAACTTTGAATACCAAAAAGCTGAAATATCAACCCCTCCCCAAAAAGCCATCGGCTACCAATGATGGAAAAGAGCATAGTTTGGTATTTCGGCGGCTATTGGGGAGTTTAGTATTTCGAAGTTTGGTATTCGCCGCGCACAAGTCTATCTAGGGATTTCCCAATTAAAAACATAATCTAAAAGATGAGAAAATGTGTACGAGGTTGATTTGTCCAATAATAGCCCAGCTCTATCACTAAAACAACCCCTTAACTCAAAGTAGGACCTCCAAAGGAACCAGCAAACCCCCAAAACAAAAAATTAACAAAAAACAAACTTAGTAGATTCCAAACAATTGACCAAAATAGGGAGAATTCCACTAGAAATAAGGTCATCAATTGGCGGATTCCGATCAGACGAAAGAAGCTTTCGAGCCTGAGTTACAGCCAGCATTTGAACCTCCGGGTCCGGACTCTGAGCTTGTTCAACAATTTCTTGTAGATTGGTTCGATCGTATGGAATTCCTGCCCCTCCAGCACCGCTTGTTGAGGCGTCAGCATTTGGACTGGAAAAAAAGGTTAAATTTTAAAGGGTATGGGTAAGCGCCATAGACCACGAAAGACGTCGGGTAAGTGCCAGAAGTTCCTAGGACTTTAGAAAGGTTCCTAATCCCCAAAAGAAGTTGGGTAAATGTCTGAAGTCTCCCAAAGACTTCGGGTAAGTGCTTGAGGTCTTACAAGACTCGGATAAGTTCATAGTCCCCCGGTCCACAAATAGGTGTCCGGTTTCCCATTCCCGCTAGTAAGAGCCAACGATTTCCACAGACTGCTTCACAAAATCGAGTCCATTCTTCGGTCCTACTGCTGTCAGCGGCTAGCCCAAGACCCAAGACCATAGAACATCTAAGTCAACGAAAAGATGCCAGCTTCCCAATACTGCGTGTCGACTAGGTCTAGTCTTCTTTGATTTGTTCGTTGGCGTCCTACCCCAAGTCTCTGTTCCCCTAATAATCAACCCCCCCCCCCCCCCAAAAAAATACTTTATAAAAAAACCAACTCTTCAATTGGAATATTGCGCCTCTTTGAAATCACATCATCACGTTTTTCTTTTCGGATTGTCACGGCTTGCTCAATACGGCCTTTACGAAGCGTCTCGCTATCCTTTCCAGCATGTTTGTATTGGGTCTGTCTTTCAGCCATTTTTTGAAAAAAATTATTTTTTGTTGTTTTTTGTTTCTTTGGTCACAAAAATTAGTCAAAACGATTGCCGAGAATTTTGATATATAAATTAGACAAAATTTTAATTTGCTTGAAAATTGCTATGGAAAAAAAATAAAAAATTAAAAATAAAAAAGAAATAAGGTTCCAAGAACAACAAAGCCCTTGTAAGTCTCCTTAAAGGTACCCTCTAGTGGGTTTAAAAGAAAATTAATGTCAGAAATGGTTAACGGATACTAAACAAGTCAATAATAAACAAAGGAGACCGGTTTTGTTCCGTTTCAACCGAATTCCGCCTTTTTAAAAATAACCGGCCCCGAACGGGTTCGAACCCACGACCCCCTAAATGAACCCACGGTCCCGTCCCCTTTTTATTCTTCTAGTTACGTCAAAGATTTTAGAAGGAACTATGCTTGGTTATACTGGTTTCCTTCCGTTTCAATCGAATTCCGTCTTTTTAAAAATAACCGGCCTCGAACGGGTTCGAACCCACGACCCCTCTGATGGCCTCAAAGTCTTTCCATTTTTTCTTCCGCTTATGTCTCCCAGATTTTAAAAGGAAGGACCCATGCCTGGTCACAGAAACACTAATTACTCCCTTGCTCACGTGCAAACACTTAAACAATTATGAAACACTTTAATCAATAAGCAAAGAGAAATTTTTTAAATAAAAGTGATAAATCATCAAGAGCTGGGAATGCACTCTTTTTTTTTTTGCAAAACCAACAAAACAGAAAATCAACAAATCTTGTGACCAACAAAACAAAGAAAAATAGAAGAGAGAAACAACACAATGTACACTTTTTTGTTTGTTTCTTCTCTCTTTCTCACGTTGTTTTGAGGGGACGTTTCAGTATTGTTGATTCAGTCTCGAGGCCATATTTTGGGCCATAACTTTTCTGTTTCTTAACCGATTTAAATAATTTTTATATCAATCGAAAGCTCTGGATGTGAGGATCATTTTAGCTAACAGGATCATTTTAATTAGACGATCCTGCAATAAGTTATAGTTGAATAAGTGCGCGCAATCGTGATTTTTGCTATTTATTAGGCTGTAACTTTTTGTAGGATGATCTGATCAAATCAATCCTGTTATCTAAAATAATCCCTAAATCCAGAGCTTTCGATTGATATAAAAATTATTTAAATCGGTTAAGAATCAAAAAAGTTATGCCCAAAATATGGCCTCGAGACTGAATCGTTCCCCACTCTAAAGTACGCTGTTGATTCTCGACTGTCATGATGTAACAACTTGTAACTTTTTAGAGATTTGTCGGATCTGAACACTCCCAATATAAAAAATATAAAGCACACCCTGTTAGACTTATCGATTATGATAAGGATTACTCGAAAATATCGAAGAGTATAAAAGCGGCCGGAAAAGTGTCCTCAGACTCAATTGTCCCTGGCTCATTTCAACTTTTTTTTGCCCAAACCGGCGCGCGGCCATAACGGCGCAAAGCCATATCTAGCTTCAAGGTTTTTTAATCCTACCAGCTTCAATATTAAACGATTCCTCTCATCGAGCTGGGGAGATTGGTACCTAAATTGAGAAGAACCAGACATTTACCTACAAGTTATAGCTTTGCGCCGTTATGGCGGCGCGCCGTTTTGGGCTGTACCTTTTTTATCATCTTTTTGTAAAAATCCAAATTTCTTTCAAGTACAGATTTTAATATTCCTTTTACTATTCTAAAAGGATTATTTTGCTGAAACTTCTTGTTAATTCATTCTCTAAATGCCGCCAGTTAAAAAACAACTTCCCAGACAGTCAAGTATCTTTTCTCATTTTTTCAATAAAACTTTTAAATTTTCATAGCTCGTTTGATTTCTCTACATCCCCAAACTGGAATTGATGAAGCTGCCAGAAGGAGACGGATACAAAAACACTTAGAAACTTTGGAAAAGGTTTGGGTTTTTGGGAGATTTTCTTTGGGGATGGGGGGTGGGGTGTCTAAACTCGAGTTTTTCACCGGCTTCAAATTCCAAATTCAAATTTCTGTTTGATTTTCTTTCTGTTTCGACGTAAAACTGTCACGACACTCAAAATTATATCATTTCAAAGCCAACTGGAACTCTAAAAATAATTCGGATCCCCGGCCGTGGTCGAACCCATGACCCCAAAATTTTGTGCCTAACACTTCTTTAAGGTTTAAGTTTCTTTACGATTTGACATAAAACTGCTCCCAAACTCAAAATGATGTCAAATCTAGACAATTATTGAATTTAAATATTTGTGGCCCCAAGCGGGTTCGAACCCATGACCCCAAACATTTTTATGTCAAATACATTCTTCCTTGTTTAAAGCCCATTCCTGTTGTTAGCTGAATCATTTCCATAACTTAAATTTCTTATTTTCATTTCAGGACAACTTTCAAGACGACCCACACGCAAATATTGTTTGGAACAAATCTGCCCCAAAATTTGATGACGAACTAATTTTCTCTCGTTCTGACGAAACCAAAAAACGGAAGAAGAAAAGTAATGATCCTCCAAGTAAAATAAGTGCTCCAGAACATGCTAGTTTGTTTAAAAATTTTTCTCAAAGTTTAATACTTTAAATTTTAGCTAAAAAAGGAAAGAAATTGGTTGCGTCATTGACGAAGACGAGGTTTAGGAAAACCTTTACTCAATTGCTTATCGAATCTGAGGTTTTTTATTTAGCTTTTTTATTCGTTTGTTTTTGTCTTAAAGGGGTTTTACTATTTGTTTTTAGGCTAGGTATTTCCTGACACAAAATACGTTGGGAATTTCCGATCTTCGAGAATCCCGTTCCTGAAATCCCACTCCTGATACCGCCCTTGGAGTCCGAAATAAGTTTAGGAGATAATCGATAAGTACTTACTTTTCCTTGCAAAAGATCGGAGAGTTCACTCTGGGTGGTTTAAAGTGTCCGGCAGTGAAGGGGGTATGCTTCCTGGAGCTAGCTCCGGAGCCGCCTCCCTAAGCCGGAGCCATTATTTGAAAAAGGTAGGAGCCAGAGCCACAAAAGTCTAGCATTTTTTTGCTTAAAATGTTATTTAAATTTAATCCACAAATTTTCTAGAAAAAATGGGAAGAGGACAAAGCTTCTACGTCCTTCACAACACCTTCAACTTCTCAACAAATTCAAGGATCAATATCTCCATCAATTCCGCCTTTTTTGACTTATACACAGGTTTATTAATAACTTAGCGGTTCATATTTTTATTTTCCCCGTTCCCCTTCAGATTACTGCCCCGCCTAGCTTGTTACCTCCACGCAAGTTTTGTGCTGTTTGTGGCCTAAAATCGTGTTATACTTGTGTCAAATGTGGTGCTCATTTTTGTTCAATTCCTTGTAGGGATACACACGTTGATACGAGGTTTTTTTGAGTTGAAATATTTTTTAAACTTTAAATTAATAGGTGTCTCAAATGGACAGTCTGAAAAGCCTCTTTGTCTTCTCTGGATGCAGTTGTTTTTGGTCACGTTTGATTTTTGATTATCCAGTTCAACATATATTTAAAATTTTGTTTTTTAACAAATTTCCCCTTTTTTTTGATATTTTAACATTCCCCCAGATGTTTAAATTAGGGTAGCAACCTGACCCGCAAAGGTCAAGAGAAGGTCAAGTCCGTATTGTTTAAATTACCCAGAAGGTCAAATCCAAATATTGGGAGATAGGAAGTTTTTGTAGATTAGGACAGACTTGGGGGGTATTAAGGGGACTTCGGTGAATTTGGGAGGATTAAGATGGTTTGCTGGGATTAAGGGACATTGATTTTCTTGCGCACCTGTCGGATAAGGCAAAAGGGTATAGGCTCGGGAGAAGAAAACTCGTAATTACCTTATTCCATTATAAAATTGAATATTTTAACAAGGGAAGGTTGCGAGGTGTCTTCGACCTCATCGTGAAATTCTGCCGATTCCGATGCAACCAAAATAGCTTTGTTGACTTGTTCTGCTTGGTACGAGTAATCGTTCCATCTTCCGCACTGGCATCAGATACATGTAATAAACTTTATGCCGATCTTGCTGTATTCAATGAGACGTTAGACATAATAACCAGATCAGAATGAGTATTAAAATCTTTAAAAAAATTTTTATCAAAAAGAATTTACAATGGGGTCGGCTTATGGTTAATACAAAAAAGAGTCCGGCCTAATAGAATCTATTTCCTGGTAGCTGAATCGAACTAGGGTACCTAGGGGCCGAGATGCTCAACCTGATTTGGCTATTATGTCTGACATTTCGTTGAATACAGCAAGATCGGCATCAAGTTTATTACATGTAGCTGATGGCCGTGGTGAGGAAGGAACAATCACTTTGTATGAGGCTGAGCAAGTTAGTACCGCTATATTATCTGCATCTGAGTCTGCTGAATTTCACGATGAAATTGAAGAAATGCAAATCCGTGAACACTTGCAAGATTAATCATCAATACTTATTTACCCGCTGGAATTAAAATGATATAAAATTTATTTGGATTGGATTAAAACTAAAAAAGTTATTAGTCAATAGATTTTTTCTCTCCAAAAAATGTCGAATTAAATTTAAAAAAACGTATCTTAAACGAGGTGTATCTTAAATAGAGGGTATGCAAAATTAATCCTGAATTTTTTCACAAATATTCTTCTCCTCAACCTCATCGTGGAATTCAGCCGATTCCGAAGCAACCAGAATGGCAGTGTTGACCTGCTCTGCCTGATATAAAGTAATTGTTCCTTCCTCCGCTCTAGCATCAGTTGTATCTAATAGGCTTGCAGCCTCTCTTGCGGTATTCAATGAAACGTTGGACATGAAAGCAGATCAGATTGAAATTTATGATCTTTAAAAAAATTTTATGGTTATGGTTAATAGTTTTTGGTTTATGGTTAATAGTTTTTGGTTTTTTAATAGTTAATAGTTTTTGGTTAATAGTATGGTTAATAGGTTAATAGTGTTAACTATTAACCAAAAACTATTAACTATTAAAAAACCAAAAACTATTAACCATAAACCAAAAACTATTAACCATAACCATAAAATTTTTTTAAAGATCATAAATTTCAATCTGATCTGCTTTCATGTCCAACGTTTCATTGAATACCGCAAGAGAGGCTGCAAGCCTATTAGATACAACTGATGCTAGAGCGGAGGAAGGAACAATTACTTTATATCAGGCAGAGCAGGTCAACACTGCCATTCTGGTTGCTTCGGAATCGGCTGAATTCCACGATGAGGTTGAGGAGAAGAATATTTGTGAAAAAATTCAGGATTAATTTTGCATACCCTCTATTTAAGATACACCTCGTTTAAGATACGTTTTTTTAAATTTAATTCGACATTTTTTGGAGAGAAAAAATCTATTGACTAATAACTTTTTTAGTTTTAATCCAATCCAAATAAATTTTATATCATTTTAATTATTCAGGGCTCTCATTCGTGCTTTATTTGAAAGTATTATACTTTGAAACCGACCTCCATACTTAAGAAATTGAATTTATACTTTATTGAAAGTATGTACTTTGAAATCAACATTTTTGATTGAGAATGAAATTGGGGAAGGGATTGGGCAAAAAAGTGAATTTTTTTAGCCTTGGGCCTTCGAAATTATCAAAATTTTCGCCTGCGGCGCTGAAAAAGAAAGAAATCTGGCTTCTTGGGCTCCAAATTTCAAAAAATTTTCGCCTGCGGCGCTGAAGATGGAAGAAATCTGGCTTCTTGAACTCCAAAATGTGAAATTTGGGGACGATATTTAAGGATCAAGAGTGTTTGTGGAGTTATATGCGGAAGTTATCAGGGATGGACTCACCCCTAAAGACGGCTTTTTTAGACCTTTTATTTTTAAAAAACACTCTCCTACTTCGAAATAAAATTTTTTAAGGAAAAGGGAAAGAGTTATTTATAATTTCTTTCGCCATTCATTATGTAGGTCGGTGGTTGAGTGGTTAGGTTGACTGAATTTGCTTATTTAGAAATTTCGTGTGGTGGGTTCGAATCCAGGTTATCAAAAAAAATATTTTCCAATTTAATTTGGAGTATACTTTAAATTTGGAAATTTTCTCCCTATATACTTTTTTATCAAGATTTTGATACTTTTGAGTGGCATTTTGTCGATGAGAGCCCTGTTTTAATTCCAGCGGGTAAATAAGTATTGATGATTAATCTTGCAAGTGTTCACGGATTTGCATTTCTTCAATTTCATCGTGAAATTCAGCAGACTCAGATGCAGATAATATAGCGGTACTAACTTGCTCAGCCTCATACAAAGTGATAGTTCCTTCCTCACCACGGCCATCTGCTACATGTAATAAACTTGATGCCGATCTTGCTGTATTCAACGAAATGTCAGACATAATAGCCAAATCAGGTTGAGCATCTCGGCCCCTAGGTACCGTACCCTAGTTCGACTCAGCTACCAGGAAATAGATTCTATCAGGCCGGACTCTTTTTTGTATTAACCATAAGCCGACCCCATTGTAAATTCTTTTTGATAAAAATTTTTTTAAAGATCTTAATACTCATTCTGATCTGGTTATTATGTCTAACGTCTCATTGAATACAGCAAGATCGGCATAAAGTTTATTACATGTATCTGATGCCAGTGCGGAGGATGGAACGATTACTCGTACCAAGCAGAACAAGTCAACACTGCTATTTTGGTTGCATCGGAATCGGCAGAATTTCACGATGAGGTCGAAGACACCTCGCAACCTTCCCTTGTTAGAATATTCAATTTTATAATGGAATAAGGTAATTACGAGTTTTCTTCTCCCGAGCCTATACCCTTTTGCCTTATCCGACAGGTGCGCAAGAAAATCAATGTCCCTTAATCCCAGCAAACCATCTTAATCCTTCCAAATCCACCAGTCTCCTTAATACCCACAGGTCTTTCCTAATCTGCACAAAACCTTCTATATCTCCCAATATTTGGATTTGACCTTCTGTGTAATTTAAACAATAGGGACTTGACCTTCTGGGTTGATCCCCTATGATCGATTTAGTTCTTGGCAAAAATTCAAAATTAGGGGAAAATTGGGATTATTATTTTTTTGTTTTTTTAGTAAAATTTTTTAAGTTTTTTATATTTAAACACTTATGTTGTTATTGTTGTAAAAACAAACAAATTATTTTTAATTTACCTTAAACATTTTTTAGACCTAATTTCAAACTCTATTTTTAAATAATTTTAAGAACCAGGGCGAGATTCGGGAATCCGTTTACCACAACTTTTCTGTTACTTAATCAATCTTCATGTATTATATACCAATCGAAAGCTCAAAGTATGGGCATTCTTTTTCTAGGCGTGGTCACTCTAATCAAAAAATTCTCTTAAAAGTTAAGATCGGATAAATACACATAATCGTGATTTCTCGTGTATATCAAACACAACATTTTATAAAACAATCGAAAATTAAAAAATTTTTTCTCAACGCAATGGTCTAATAAACGGATCAGTTGCAATTCCACGTATTTTCTTAGGCTTCTTTTGTTCTCCTTCTTCCTCTATATTAGCTATTAATTCAGAGACAGCATATTCGTTTGTTTCCCACCAATTGCTTGTTTCTTCTTCATCTTTACCGAGGATTAGGGATTCCAAATCGTATCTAAAAAAATTTTGGGACTTAAATATAGAAAGTAAATGTGTTACTGGCCCCAACTGACTAAAAATAGTGCCTTAAAAAATAATCGGCGCCGAGCGGGTTCGAACCCACGACCCCCTCTATTTCCCACCTACAAACAAAATTAACAACAGGTAATCGTTGAAATCAATTTGCTCCCAAACCTAGCCACCAACTATTTTCTAATAGTCAGGAAAATTAAAATAAAATTGAAAGAAAATTTATATAAAATTAGTTTGAGGGAATGGAGGGGGTCGTGGGTTCGAACCCGCTCGGGGCCGATTATTTTTTAAAGGCATTATTTTTAGTCAGTTAGGCCAGGAGTTACATTTAAAATAAAATTTAAAAATTATAAACCTTTTTCTCAAATCCTCCTCTATTATATGCACAGTAACATTCTTCAAGTCCAACATATACCAACCACTTGGATCTTTATCAAAACGATGTGGAATGTCTTTTGGACCCTTTTCAGAAAGAAAAAATATTTTTTATTAAATTAAAAAGAAACCTCAAATAAAAAATTTCTTTTCACAAAAGCCCGTACAATTGTCATCAAAGCTTTTCCATGCCTTTTATTGTAGGGCGAACAGATTATGGTAAATGGGCTATATGGGCGAAGTTGTTCCTGTTGTTGTTCGCTGGCATTATTGTTTTCATCAACATTATCATTTTCTTCGGATGCCTTAAAAATAATTTCAACATTAAGCAAATTTTCGGAGAGAAGATTTTGGGTGGGAAGGGGGTCACGGGTTCGAACCCGCTCGGGGTCGGTTAATTTTAAAATAATCAAAATCAAAGTAAGAACTGGTTTGGGTTAGTATCTTCCTCCTCTCCTCCACTTCAATCACCATTAGGACATCAACGCAAATTTTTGGAAGAGAAGATGAATGGAAAACAAGGGAAGAGAGGTCATGGGTTCGAACCCGTCCGGGGCCGGATATTTTTAAAATCTTCTGAATCAAAGTTTCCAATGATTTTTTGAGTAAACCAATATTAAAAAGAGTTTAAAAATGAAGACTTGAAAGAATTTACTTGAAAACAAACAATGTCCTTAGCGCGTTGATCTTCCAATACTTCAACAATTTCATTAGGGGAAAGTGTAGAAAAGTCTCTTAATTGCAAATCTGTCCAAAAAATAATTTTTATTTGAAAAAAATTTTTTTTGGGAGTTCTATCATCAACAAAATTATTTTCAAAAAATTTACTTTAAAAATATTCAAAATTTAAAAGTAAACCTCTTCTGAGGTAAGGCTCTGTCTCAGCCACCATTGGGACATCAACACCCTCCTCTTCTACTTCATAATACTCCAATATTTGATCCTCATCTTGGTTATCCAATTTTAATGAAGAATTAGTGTTTGTGGAAGACTAAAATTAAAAAAATTTTTTAATCTATTAAGATTCAGTCAACTTAGGGGGGTCCCGGGTTCGACCCCGCTCGGTGCCCTTTAATTTTTAAATTAAAGTTATCAATAAAATTTTGATTATAAAAACAAATAAACAAACTTTCCATCAATTTTCAATCTATTTTAACCTTTTAAAATTCAAATAAATTCAAAAAACCTGTTCAAAATATGCCGAATTTTGCCGGAAACTTGTAGTTCTATTAATTTTTCTTTTATATAGCATCAAACATCGTCTTTGTTGTGAAATTAATAAGCGTCTAATAGAAAGAGAAATATGGCCAATCATTGAAAAACTTGAGAAAAATAATTAAATTTAAAAATTAGATTAATTAGCAAAACAAAAAACCTCTCAATATAAGATACCCCCTGGGCTAAAAAATCGTGCGTTATAAAGAAGGGGTATGTTAAATAGAGGTTTCTGCCTGGAAATTGGCAAAAAAAATTTAAAAACCATAAAAAAACTATTTATTTACCTTTATGCTCTAAATCCGGTTAATAACCTTAATTTAAAAATTAAAGGGCCCCGAGCGGGGTCGAACCCACGACCCCTCCCCCATAAATTGACTGAATCTTAAAATTTTAATACAATTACAAAATGTTTTAAAATTTTTCCCCACCTAGTGGACAACCAAATCTAAAAAACATGCTTTAAATTAAGTGTATTTAGTATTGGAGGGGTATCATACAATGAGGTCTAACAGGGGATAAAAATGTATGAAAATAATTAAACGGTACGAACCGCTTTGGGCAAAATTTTTAAAAAATTTTTATTTTCAATTTTAATTTCTAATAAATTTGAATTTAAAAAATTAAACAAAAAATGAGGCAGAAATAAATTAAAAAATATTTGAAAAACCCCCACAAATTATCATCTCTCTTCTGCCGCGTGTGCATCAGCTATAGGATTTGCATGAATAGTTATATTTCGAATTCGGTGTTCTACCACTGGCCTGAAAAATTTTTTAAAAATAATTTGAGAATGGAAAAATGATTTTGGGATTTATTTAGATAATTTTAAATAATTTAGAAATTAAAGGGCCCCAAGCGGGTTCGAACCCACGACCCCCTATTCAGTTGAAAAAAATAATAAAATTGAATTTATGCGAATTGAAAAATTTAAAGGAATACTTGAAATAATAAAAAAAGGTTATTAGACAATTAAAAAAATATATTAGACATATTTAAAATTAAAGGGCCCCAGTCGGATTCGAACTCACGACCCCCATACTCCTACAAACACCACCCAGCCAAAAAATAACTAGCAGACAAAATCCTGCTAAACTAGGTAATATAAAATCGAAAATAATTTTCTTAAATACGCTTTATAATTTAAAAACCAAAAAAAACCCCAAAAAAACCTGTATTTAGAATCAACTTTAGTATTTTCCAATTCCTCCAAAGTATCAAAACCGTCAATAACTCTTAAAAATTAAAAAAATAAATTTTCTAAAATTTAACAAAGATTACTTTCCAAAAGCAGTATATTTCAAGTCCAGGGAAGGCTGTTTATCATAAATAATAAAAAATTGGGAGCGATTTGTATTTGGGCCATTACTTGCCATGCCTAGAATTCCACGGGCGTCGAACTGGAAAAATTAAAGGGAAAATTCTAGGGAAAAGTTTAAAAAATAAAAAAAAAATGATAAAAAGAAAGCCCAAAAATAATTCAGCGGAAAAAATTTATAGAAAACACCTTTTTAAAAATTAAAGGGCCTCGAGCGGGTTCGAACCCACGACCTTTTAAGGTGGCTACTAGAGGGAAGAATAATTAAAAAAAACCTTAATATCTTCATAAAATTCGTCCTCAAAAGGCGCTCCCCAAATAGATTGACCGCCAGAACCTCGATTTGTTGGATCACCGCTTTGGACTAAAAAGGACTTTATATTGCGATGAAAAATACAATCATTGTATTGTCCACTGGCACATAAGGCGAGGAAATTCTGAAGTTGAGAAAATTTTAAAAATTATTTTTAGCAGGAAAATTTTGCTGGGGGTGTCAATGCTCGGGGTTTCAGGGCCCTTAAATTTTAAAAATTGATTTTCCATCATAAGGTCTGAAGTGAGTGATCAAAAATTTTCGATAAAAACTTTAGGAATGGACGTCAATTTTAATAATTTTTGTACAAAGTATTTTGGTTAAGTGGGATAAGGTGTTGAAAAAGGACAATGGTTCGAACAAACTGAGGGCCAGTTAATTTTATAACTGAGGTTTCGCTAAAAATTTAACTTTAGTAAGAATTTAGGAATAATTGGAAAAGAACTTAATTTTATTTTTATATTTATTAGTGGAACAATTTATTTAAATCCAAGCAGAAAAATTCCTTTTTTTAACACCTTTTTAACACCTCAGCTAAAAATCACCCAAAAATATTAAAATTTTAAAAATTAAATAAAAAAATAACCTCACTACTCTTTGGACACTTTTCACAAAACAATTCAATTTTTATATTTCCAGCAGTTGTATGTAAAGTCACCGACATTTCTCTTCTTAAGTCCTTTAACTTGTTAAATTTAAAATTTTTTAAAAATTAAAAAATATTAGATAAATTCTGATATAAAAATGTAATTTAAACAAAAAGAAAAAATATTTTCCATCATTTAAAAATTTATAAAATATTTTTAAATTAAAAAAAAAACAAAACAAAAGTTACTTGGAGAGGTAGAGAACTACATTATTTTAAACCCCGTAACTTAGACATTCTTAAAAGTCATTCTTCATCAGGCGATTCAACCAAATAAATGTGCTTAATGTACCTTTTTGCAATCATTGCCATTCCAACCTTAAAAAAGTTTTCAGGTACATATAAAAAATTAATTTAATAAGAAAAGATAGTCCCAGATCCACTGGAGTGTTGGAGGGGGGATACTAATAAATCCGAGAACTCTAGAAAAGGTACGGAGCGCCGTGTGTTTAAAAGGCTGGAGCTGATGGGGGCTGTAGGTCTCTTAAAATGGGGAAAATGATAGGAGGCAGCAACTGGTCGTTCGGTTTCGTTAGAAACTCAGCTCGGAGAGCTCTTTCAAACAAAATACATATCATTTGCCTTTCGAATTCTTCACTCCAAAATGAGCTTGCCCCAACCCTCCCCCTAAGGTTTTTCGATTTTCAGGGTGTATGTATCTCGAAGTCTGCCCCCACCTTTGGTACCGTTCCATTCACTTCGAGGAGTTGACAATGAGTCAATTTTTCTCCAAGAAATACTAGACCCCACCAAAAATTAAAACACGGAACGGAGGAAAAGGCGTTTTGGACCCCAAAAATAATCCCAAAAAATATTTAAAAACCTTCCTCATAGGCGACAGTTCCTTTTTCCTCCCAAAATTCGTCTCAACTTCTTCAACTTCCTCCTTTTGTTTCCCTCCTTTTTTGTTTCTTTTCTTTTGTTTTTTGGTTTTTAAAGAAGATTCGTTTGACTCCAAATTGTTTTGAGCGGACGGAGACTGTGAAATTTTGTCTTTTTTGACACTTTTAATCCAATATTCACGAGAATCTCCCTTAAAATTTTTTTTTAAATTTCAAAAAAAAATTTAAATTAAACCAAAATAATGTTAGATTGATTGTCTACACATAACAAAATGCCTTGGTAAACACGGCCGTCAATCACTAAAAAAATAAAAAAAAATAAATTAAACCCTGTTCGCAACTTTTAATGAAAAATATTCACAAAAAAATTGTCCGCAAAAGTTATCCGCAACTTTAAAAAGCAAGGAACCTGAATTTGAGAGAAAAAGACGAAAAATAAAAAATAGCAGCGAAAAAAGTTTGATAGAAAAATTTTCAAAATCCGCAAAAATTATCCGCAAAATTAGCGGTTAAATCTTGTAAGTAAATAGCCCCAGCCCTTACCTAGAAAATAAACTTGATACAAATAAAATAGGTCATATACACAAAAAAAGTCCCTCAAAATTATAAATTAATAAAAATTTTCAGAAAAAAATCTAATTTCAAAAAATCCGTAAAAAATTTAACATAAGAAGGAACCAAAGGATCTCTCCTTATAGCTAACTCAAAAGAGTTCATTTAAATGTGTTCAGGATACTAGAATATGCCGAGGACATCAATAAAAAAAGATAAAGGCAGTCCGAAAGAGAAAAAAGTCCGCAAGAAAAAAATTTGTCCGCAAAGTCCGCAAAATTAAAATCGTATTTTTGCGGATCAAATCAATTTTTCTAAAATTCCCCTCCTAATCAACCTCCCTCCTTTTAATTTAAACAAACCTACATACATTCAATACGCAATATTTGGTCAATCCATCCATAAATTTGCCGTTCCTTGTTGGTCACAAATTTAGTATCAGGCAAAGATGCAGAAGTAGTTAGGCTTTCTTCTTGGTCAAGTTGACTATTATTGTTGTTGTTTGTATCGACCATTTTTACTTTAAATTTTAAACTGAAATCCGAAAAAAAAAATTTTTTATTTATAAAATTTTTAAATTCACAAAGAAAGGCCATATAATCGCAGTGACACTTATCGAGGGTAAGCCCAATTAGGCGCGCGGCCATAACGGCGCAAAGCCATAACTTGCTTCATGATTTCCAAATTTTACCAAATTTGGTATTAAACGATTCCCCAAATCGAGCTAAAGAGAATGGTACCAAAATTAATAGGATCCAGAAATTTACACGCTAGTTATGGCTTTGCGCCGTTATGGCCGCACGCCTATTTGGGCGTATCCCAATTATCGACGCCCCCTTTTAAAAAGCTCCCATAAATGTTTCTTTTCACTTAATTTGTAGCTAATTTTCTTTCAAGTGAAAAATTTTTATCAAAAAATTTCTATCAAATCCAAAATAGACATCCCTTTAAAAGTTATAAGTCTGCGATTAAGCGGCCTTGCGACAAAGAGGGGGGGTATTCCACGGAAAATCCAGTTCAGTGAAAAATCCGACGGTAAATTGTCCCATTTTTCGATTAATATTTAATGAGAAAACGTTAACGAGAAGCAATGACCTTGACCAGTAAAAAAATAAAAAATATTTAAACATCTCAAGAAAAATTTTATTTGAATCAATTTCGATTTAAATTTTCCTGCCTATTTAATTAATTAATTAAACTTAAATTATTCTATAATTAAAAATCAGAATTTTATTTAAACTTGAATTCTGTTCAAATCAGAATTCTAAATGCTTAAACCAGAATTTTATTAAATCAGAATTAATTAAACTTTAATTCTTATTAATTAAATCAGAATTATTAATTAAGACGAAATTAAAAGTAAATTCTGTATAAATCAGAATTTTCATTTAAACTTTAATCTTATTAGTTATAACAGAATTATACCAGAATTATTATACCAGAATTATTAATTTAAACCAGAATTTTTATTTAAATCAGAATTAAAAACTTCAATTTTATTAAATCAGAATTATAATTAAATCAGAATTTTCAATTAAACTTATTAGTTAAAAAGAATTATACCAGAATTTTTAATTTAAACCAGAATTTTTAGTTAAATTCTGATTCTGTAATTAAACCAGAATTATTAATTTAAACTTGAATTTAAATCAGAATTAAAAACTTTTATTTTATTAAATCAGAATTATAATTAAACCAGAATTTTTAAATTTAAATCAGAATTTCCAATTAAACATATTAATTTTCCCTTGCAAAATTATCAAACAAATTTACACTAATTTTTATTTTATTTTTTCTAACAAATCATTGCAAAAATCAAATAAATTGGACAATTTAATGGAACCAAAAAAAAATTATTTTTCTCCGATAAAATTACCCAAAAAATAGATAAAGATTTTTATCAATTAGTTATTGTTATTTTGTTTTTATTTACTAGCTATTTATTTTTAAAAAATGATGGATGCTTCTTTTTATTCCGGTAATTTTTAGCTTTTAATACAAAAAAAAGAATTTGTTTCCTCCTAATAGTACATATTATTTTTTTATTAAAAATTCTGATTTTAAGTTTAATTATTAAGTTTAATTATTAATTCTGATTTAATTCTGAATAATAATTCTGATTTATTTTATTAATTAAAAATTCTGATTTAATTATTCTGATTTTATGTTTTATATAATTCTGATTTATATTTTAATTCTGTAAAATAAATTAGGACAGTGGATTGTCTGAGAATTGATGACGGACTAAAGGCCCATTATTTACTCCAATGTTTAAAGGGGAGAGACAGAGCAGTTTTAGGCTATAGGCCAATTTTGGAACATTATGCGCCATTAAAGGAAGCGCTAGTAAGAAAATTTGGAAATTAGAAAGCCATTAGCGATTGGTTTACCGATGGCTAATGAATCGGTAGGATCTTTACGTGCTTACCTTGACGAGGTAGAGCGAATTTGTAGATCATTAAATGCCATGGGGCACTTGGAAGATAAAGAAATTGTTTTAAAAAAGACTCGGATGGAGTATGGCATGTTTGGAAACGCAAAGGAAATTGCGATCATTATGGTGAATTTTCACATCCAGTCTGGCTTCCTAAACGATCTCCATTAATAGGAATATTTATCTGTATTTTATCTTTTATTTTATTCTATTTTTTCATTCGCTTATTCATAAATTCCCCCATGTTTTTTGGCTATAAAAATGTTTCTTCTTTACCTTATTTTTACTTTTTGACTTGGGAGGATGTGTATGCACACAGGAGACTGAAAAAAGATTACATAATTTAGGAAATGGAATATTATTAATGAATAATCATTTTTATAAAAACTTGGCTATTAAAGGAAAGGAAGCGATCACATTATATTTACTTTCAATAGTTTCCTCAAAAATAATAAAAATGCCCTTTACCAAACTGGTATGTTTAGTGATTGAAAAGGATGAAGAAATTCAGGTTAATGAAATGATAGTAACAGAAATTGGTACCGAAGAAATTAGGAATAATTTAAATATTCAGGAAAATGTGCTGGCTACTGATGAACCAAAAGATCAGGAGATTAAAATAAAAATGGATGTTAATGCTGGAACAGGAAAAGAAGTAGGTCTGAAATCTTTTGAAGATAAAAATTGGATTTTAATTATTAAGGTTGTACCCGAAATTAATGAATCTTCAACTGGAAGAAGTTCAAATTGGCTGATTTTCATATCAGTTGAGATTAAAAAGAATTTATTGGTTGGAATAATAATGTTTTGTGTATTTGGTGTTTTAATGGCAGACCCAGGAAATTATTCTCCTCTTTCTACTCCACCGGAAAATCAATGGGACAGTCTGTTGGATGAAATTGAGGCTTTTGAGCCACAAATGGTATTTGAAAACATAGGCATTCAACCCACAAATCTTTCTAATCCCCAAATTCAGATAGAAACTGCAGGAGAAGGAAATTTTACTGGAAATATACAGGAAAGTCCAAGAACCCCTCCGGAAAACAATCAGGAAGAGAGGAAAGCCAAAAGAGCTAAATTGGAATCCCTTTTTGAAAGTTGGTTGGCAAACCGTCCCACAATTGTTTCAAATGTTTGCTCTACTTCGGCACTCAGTGGACAGACAACACAAATTTCTGGACCATCATCAACAACAAATACATTTATTCCTTTCACTTCAGCAATTGGAACAAC